CAAAAAAATGAGGAATTTCAAATAGTTAATTTGATACTAATATCGATATATTTTTGTAAAATTTTTATGATATCGTCAAACATATATTTTATTCAAAAATAAAAACATCATCGCTTTCTCAAAATCACATAAAGCCATATTATCACATCGACTGAGATAAAGAATAAAATGAAATATTAAAAACACGATGTATCTCGCTGCATTGCGCGAGTACGCTTCTAGTATATATATATATATATCTTGATTGAATAGTTTTATATATTTGTGGATTCGAATTTTTTTATAGATTTATAAAAATAGAGTTAAAAAGTAGGAAAATAAACGGGTTAGTAATTAATGTGTTGATTATATATTAAAAATAAATCAAAATAATGAAAAAAAGGATAGAAAACTTTTTATTGAACAACATTTTGGTTCTTTTTTTAATACACACACATAGGGAATGGTTCAAACGAGAACACATTAATTTTACGAAAACGCTAGAACATCTTTTTAACATAAACAATCACATATGATACACATGTGATAATAAATCAGAGACACAAGTGACTTTTGACCCGATCTTGGTTGCGGACCAAGTCGTCCTTACACCACTAAGCCCCCTCACAGTATAATAATCACATGTTATAAAGATGTTTTTGATGTGATATTATAATCTATCAATACAGATGACCTTTAACGTAGCCTAAGTCATAAAACACATCGTTTGCACACCATCAGGTTCCCTTACATATATTATCACATGTGATAAAAGATGTTTTCGTATTCCCACAAAATGAAACTGTTAAATGTATATATAAATTTTTTAATTAGAATCTCATAAAAACGATCATTTTAAATCATTAAATGAGCCGGTGAATAATCCAACGTGAACAAGGCAAAAGCCGACGTGGCACAAACTGATTTGGCAAGACGCATGCACGAAATCTCTCAACACCTCCGTGATCATACGCAACCCCATCCTCGTCCCCCGATCGGAAACCTAGCAAAACCTCGAAAAAGGTTTATACTCTAATGGCGGTTCGTGCGACGGTGAGCCGGTTTCCGGTGGATGCAGACCAGCTGGATACTTCGGGGGTGCTCTGGGGAGTGGCGGTAACGCCGTTCGCCACCAAGGACGAGAACGGGAGCTCGCCGATGTATGGATCGAACGGACACTTAATTCCTAGGTGCGAGAATTGCTGGGCGTACTACAATACGTACTGCGATCAAGAGCAGTGGGCGTGGACTTGCTCCCTCTGTGGAACCCTAAATGGCTTATCTGCCGAGACCATTGCTCGTTACTCGCTTCCAAATTCCGCCCCGGAGAACATGTCTTCCTTCATAGATCTTGAATTGCCCCGTAATATCCACTCTCTCTCTCTCTCTATCTCTCTCTCTCTCTCTATATATATATATATGTGTGTGTGTTATTAAAGGAATCGCACAATGAATGGTGTGGTAGGCAGGAAGCTCTATGTGACTATGTGATCATAAAGCTTCTACGAACCCTGTTGTTTGGGATTCCACAACAATCCTTCTCCTTTTGTGTAGTTGTTTTCTTTTCCTGCTTACATGCATGTCCAATTATCTTATACAATATTCTTCTGGAATTCAAATCGCCAAATTCATCCTCCCAAACAATGGATAAGTGCGTAATTAGGTTTAACGAGGAGAATTGGTGCATTTGAGAGTTTTACACTTCCGCATTCTTTTTGTACGTGGATTTCAGTCAATGAGTAGAATTGAAGCGGAGGCTTACTTTTTAAGGTGAAACAGATGCACTCATGCACGCTGCGGTCTTGAATTCCTAATAATGTTGTTTTTTGTTTTGCAAACTGTGTGGATGTTACAAAGAAAAGGATAGATAGGAGGACCATTTGGGATTTTCTGCAGAGGTTGTTGGGAGGGTACTGCTCCCGCGATGTTTCACTTCTATTTTACCTTTGCCAAGAAACTCTTTCTGGCTTGATTCTTGGGATCAACATCCTTCCAAGTCTTGTACTGATTTGAGGTTTAACCTTGGTTGAACACGGACTGGGCATCCTTTATCTTTTCCATTTTGATTTAAAGTGTTACTTTTACAATCTAAATATGTATTGTGAGTGCATCCATGTTTATATATGCAGGTCCTTTCATGGGAAATCATAGGGGATAAAACGCCATGCAAAGTGTCTGTTTGAGTTTTGCTTTTTATTCAGATATCTTCTATGTAAAAGACATAGCCTATAATGCAAAATTTGTTCACATTTCTTGGGTGGAAAGTGATTTAGGCTTGTTATCAGAAAATGATATTTTGTCTAATTATGAAATTCAACATTCACATGTATATTTCCATTTTTTCCTGTGTTGTAGTGGAAGGCTCTGAGGAGGAAGATATGCAAGCCCGGCCAGTGTATGTTGCAGCTGTTGATTTGGCATGTAAGAATTGATTCTAAATCTGATATCTTCAGTTCTTTTTCTTTATCTTGGACCTGTTTGACTAATTAACAATAAAATGATTTACATCATTACATGAGTCTCATAAAGCACATGGAATGGTATGGTTGTTATATGTGTGACGACATCTGTAAAAAGTGCTAATGGGAAGTGGATACTGTACAGTAGTCAGATCAGTCCACTAAGACAGTAACAATTTAATGTTCTTGCTGAAGCAGATATTCACTTTAGGTCGATTTCAACATGCGAAACAGCCTTGTTTGAAAAATCTAGGCCTGTTGTCGTTATTCTTTTCCATATTTAGTCTCTTATTTCCGAAGTCCAAGCAGCAAGCACATGTGTAATTGGCTACCATGCACAGCATTTGGGATTACATCAATGCTTCTATTACTGGAACTATTGATTGCTGAACCAGTATGCATCATCTGTATGTTTGACAAGGCAGTTCTAACTGATACCAGGAATTCACCTCTTACAGGGGTCCCTGAACTCGTCACAATTCGTTGTCACTGTCATTCCCTTCTCTTTCAAATTGATGCATGTGCCTAGCTTGCTAATTCTGTTACTTGGCCACTATGCGACCATTTTGTTCATATACAATCTTAAGAAGATATATGGGTGCTAATATGCGCAACACAATCACTCACTGTTATATTATGAGGATAGGTCTAGATATGCAATCTTTTTTTCTTTTTTGAAAAAGAAGACATTGAATGGTTCAATTTTTGAACTTCTGATTGGTAGATGACCAAAAGCAAGATGAGGACATTGAAATTTGAAATGAATGTAAGTAGTTCAATTTCAATATGGATACATGCAGTTGTCATGTTGTTCCTGTTACTTCTGATGTCGACTGGTGATCACTAGAGAAAGTGATAAGAGTGCTTGGACTGGGAGTACATTGGTAGAACATTTATAGAAAGATGAGAGATTGAAGACCTTCACTTCGCAGCGGATGCTTGGCAGGAGAGTAGGATAAATCTGCCTATGGGAATGAAACCTTGCTTGCAGAAACTTAATCAGTTGGTGTAAGGCATCCCATTTAAGTGGTTTAACTTAGCTATGTTGTGTGTTCATATGCATCGACCATTTCATCATGGAAAACAAGTTGACTTTCTTTTATCTTGTAGTGGTCATTACTACACATTCTACTCTATGAGCTTAATACACTTGGTTTTAATTCTGGGTCAGCTTGTTGGTTATGCTTTCCATTTTCTGTGATTGCTTTGTACTTGAATTACTCTACAAGTTATGGCCCCTTTCTTCTTCCATTATTAAAGTTCAGGACAATTGTTTTACTTGATAAGTTAACTTTTCTCTTGGTTACACTTTTGTAACCCTTTTACACCATTCCTCTCTTGCTAAATGGTAATCTTCAACTTATCTATATTCTTAAACATACAGACCATTCACATTCATGCACATTCTCTCTGTTATGCCATCGAGATGGACTTGTGCATGTACTTATTCCACATCTGCTTGACTTTTTTCCAGGCTCAGAAGAGTTTATAGAACTTACAAGAAGTGCTTTGTTAGCGGCTCTGGAAGGTCCACAATTCGTGTATCATGGCCTCCTAATGCATATCTGCTCCAATCAGTTTTAAATACTAAAATCTGGTTTTTATTACAGCTCTTGCTCCTGGATCTCTTTTTGGGCTTGCTACATTCAGCCATAAGTTAGGTCTGTATGATGTGCAAGGACCTATTCCTGTGATTAAAAATGTTTTTATTCCCCCGGATTCGGATGGTACACTACCAGTTGAACTTGAAGATGCCATGCCATTATTTTCTTTTCTGGCTTCTGTAAGTTCATGACAAATTTATCTTGACCTCTATATCATTGTATGCCTGGCACTCCATTTATAACCACCTAGTGATCAGCTCCTCCATGCATATAGGTTGAAACTTGTAAGGATCGCATCACAAATGCACTTGAAACCCTAAGACCAACTACGTCATGGGAAAGAAATGCAGGTGCAGGACAAGGACTAGGTGGAATGCAGCAGGGAGGGAGAGGTTTTGGTTTGGCAATGGAAGCACTTATTACATATCTTGGATCTGAATATGGCAATACTTTTGCCTTAGGTTTGATGATTCTTGTGATTTTCGTTCCAGTTTGCTTAAGCTTTACCATTTCAGAAACCTGCATATATTGTTCAAGGAAGTAACATGTTTTCTCCTTTAAATTGAAATGAAGTTCAGGCAGAATATTTGGTTTTCTATCTGGACCTCCTGATTATGGACCTGGGCAGTTGGACACAAGAAGATATAGTGAGCAATATGCTAGTAAAGGAGAGGATGCTGATCATGCTTTACTTCCTGAGCAGATGCCATTTTACAAAGATTTGGTACTTGTTTGAGTGACCATGGGCAAACATGTATTCACTAGCTAATGTGTTTCATGAATGCAGTACTCACATGCATATTACAGGCTTCTGTCGCTGTTCAAGCAGGTGTTTGCATAGACATAATTGCTGTTACCAATGGGTACACAGATCTGGCATCCTTGAAGTTCCTTAGTATCGAGAGTGGCGGCTCGTTGTTTCTGTATCCAAATACCGATGATTCAACACTTCCTCAGGACATGTGAGTAACAGATTCTTGAAATGAACTTTCCCTTTCAGAATAATATGATACAATTTTAATAGATTTTATGAACAAAATAAACAACATTTCTTCAATTATTTATGTCATTTCATTAAGGTATATCAGATGATTGACTGCTCAATATACGCAATCAGTTTACACAAGGAAAACCACTTCTTTTGTAGGTATCGAATGTTAAGCCGTCCGTATGCCTTCAATTGCATCATGCGGCTGAGGACGTCCTCTGAGTTCAAACCTGGAAATTCCGTTAGTGATTATTCTATCTTTTCTAGACCAATTATCAGTTTACTCTGAATCTCTTTATGCTTCTTACATTCGGTACTTTCCTGCAGTATGGTCATTTCTTCCCTGATCCACAGTATGAAAATGTTCAGCATGTTATTTGTTGTGATTCGTATGCCACATATGCTTATGACTTCGATTTTGTAAATGATACTGGGTTTTCCAGGTAAATGTTCATATTCAGTTCCACCTTTCTAATAATATATTCTACCTCCCTCCATCCCATTACAAAACTTTCTATTATGGAATGTCCCACAAAAATTGCAGCACCTCTTTTTGGCTACACTTCTAATTAAGATTCCTTATTAGTGCTTTGTGATAATTACACAGAAATGCACTTTGATTTGGGTCCAGAAAGATTCCTTCTTGTAAACGGTATTTGGGAAGTTTGATTAATAATATTAAACCATGTAGCAAATCAAAATGCAATCTTTGTGGGATGAAAGGAGTATTCTACATCTTTGTTGGGGTGGAGGGGGTGCTAATAGCTTCCATTGTAGGAGCTGGTTAAGATTGCACAGGTAGCTTCTCTGAAGTGGATTCATCTTTTTGTAAAAGTTTTAAATCCTTAGATACTGGATCATTTGTGCTGTAGACACACTGCAGAGCCTCCTACGCTACAATTGGCATTCCAATATACTGTTGTTGTGCCCCCACAGGAACTTTCAAGTTCGCAATTAGGCTTGTCAAGCAGGTATCATAATCATGCAGTGGTTTCCTATGTTCTGCATAGTAACCGGATTATAACTAAGAACTCTTGTTCCTTTTCTGCTGAGAAGCCCGATGATTTAAAATTAATTACTTCCTAGCTAATCAATAACAAGCCTGGCTAGAATAAATACATATTTTAATGCCTTTCTCCCATAAACATCCATCTTTGTATATACTGTTATATCCTTTTATTTACGTTAATGGATATTACGTCTTCCCAGGTCGAAGTATATGCTTAAAAGGCGACTTAGAATCCGAACTATGCAATTTGGAACTGCAAATAGCATCAATGGAATATATGACAGTGTTGATCCTGAAACAGTTCTTGTAATACTTGTTCATAAGGTAATAGGCTTAGAAATTTCTTATATATGTTATCTCTTGTCCATCCTGCCTCTGCCAGAATTAAGTTGCCATTAAAATAACGCTGCACATCAATTTCTGATAAGCGTATCGGCTTGTAATACTTTGTTGCTCGGAGATCAATATCACATGTCCACGTTCTGCTCCTTACATAGCACACTGTCTAATCTCTTGGTCTTATGCACCCTCCACTTCTCAGGTGATACTAGCTTCACTGAATGAAGGAGTTCAGGAAGGCAGGATATTACTACATGATTGGCTTGTAATCCTTACCGCACAGTATAATGATGTGTGCAAAAATGTTCGCAATGAGTATGTGAACTCTGCAAGCTCGCTTATTGATGTCACATTTGCACAATGTCCCCAATTGCAGTCTTTACCTCGACTAGTCTTTGCTTTGCTTCGGAATCCTCTCCTACGCTTCCATGGAGAAGGGGTTCACCCAGACTATCGGATATATATTCAATGCTTGTTCAGGTAAATCACACTCCAGGTTGTATTTAACTTAAATGGCAAAACTGCTTATTTATCTGAAGATGGCAATGATGCTTTATACGAGTTTCTGATATCGCCTCTCTGAGCAATATATCCTCCTGAAATCTGCTTGTATTCCTGTTCTTCCGCTCTATGCTGTCTAAATTGGAGAAGTTGATAAGGTAGCTGCCAATGTATCCTGCTGAAGTCTTGACTGTATTCCTGTTCTTCCTCAGTATGCCGTCTAACATGGAAAAGTTAATAAGGTAGCTGAATATCCATTAAATTATCACAAGAGTGTAGGGTCAAGGTTTGAAAATGCTGTAAATACCTTAAAATGAACATCACAGACATGTAGACAAATTTTAAGTGACAAGAAAAAGACAAACTTAATTATACTGTTCTACCATAAAACTTGCCTTCAAAAGTAATTATAAATTGATAAAGGCCTAATCAAAAGCCAATGCTGGTAAAATAACACCATTTTGTAAATTTAAAGAATAAAAAGAAAACCAGACGGTATTGTTTCCTTCTCAAGACAATTTTAATGCAATGATGGATCAGAGGTTAATAGGATATGACTACAGTGACCTATGTAAGATTATAGTCCCCAAATCAGGGAACACGGACTATAAAAAATTAGAAAAACGGAAATTAAAGTTTTCCTTTGTGATCTAACTATATGATAAGACCATATACTTGATGTAAAAGTTAACTCTTGTTTCAATAGACTACTATGTCCAGAAGGATGAAACTTCTGATATACTGATTATGATCCAGCAATGGACAGAGGAGAATGGACTTCTTGCTTGGTGGAAAGAAATGCATTTAAGATTTAAAATGCCAGGCAACGTTAATGAAGCTAATATATGAAGCAAAAGCATAAAAAAGATATCTGGAACAATATTCCAAAGCAAAACCATCATCTGTTATGATTTTATGATTCATTGGCGTTACTCTAATTGAATTTTCTGATCAATGAACAACTATAACCTGAAACTTGTATAATACGAGTATACGACCCATATGTTTGTTTATATGAAGGAAATGTGATTTGCTGTGATATTTTCTCATTGAGTTGTATACCATAGCCAGTGCCTAATTAACTTGATACACATGACGAGAAGACTTTTAGGTCAAAACGTTTAGCAGTCCCAAGATGAAGTCCATGTAAGGCATGCTGATGCCTGTAGATGAAATTAACTCATCCAATGTGCATTACTTTTTTTTCTCTTCTCATTATATTTTTACTTTATTAAATTCTATTAACTGCTGATGAATATCTTGATATATGCTCTTTCTTTTTCCTGAAAATTTGTTATATGCATATCATCCTCGTTCAAGGGGTTTCCCCATGAGTGTTCAAATCTCTCGAGTGACGTTATGCTTTGATATGACATACTTTGTTTGTTTGGTTTATTCTCCTTCTGTTGATACGATGAATGGAGTGTTTGCATTATTATTTGAAGCCATAATCTTGATGCGATTTTATCACTTGTCATACCTGAAACTATATATTCAATTTTTTCACCATTCATTCATTGATTTGATGCAGTGGACTAGAACCAAGCTCTCTTCAACGTGCAATATATCCTATGTTGACCTCATATGCCACTCCTGACAAACAAGCATATCCTCGTCATTCTTTGAGTCGTGCTGCGTTGCTGACAAGTGGTAGTCCAATATTTTTCCTTGACGCATTCACAACCCTCATCGTGTTCTATTCATCTACAGCCGACCCTATGCTTCCTTATCCTCCACCACACGACTGTAAGTCCACTGACCCCTTCCACCTCAAAATACAATTTTCTTGTATTCCTGAAAACCATATATGGCTTTACAAATTTAGGTTTATTGAGAAGGACAATAAATAAACTGAAGCAAGAACGATGCATCACTCCTAGACTGATGTTTATCAGGGGTGGCCAAGATGATGCCACCCCGTTTGAGAACCATCTAATTGAAGAACAGGATGTTGATGGAAGTGGCATAACGGGCGATGTGGGTTTTGTTTCATTCCTTGAGGAGGTGAGTCAGAGTGTGTTAGAATACTTGAAATAGACGACATGTACAGATTAAATGAATCACAAAGTGAATATACAAAGAAGAAACCATTAACCAGTAGGTTTCGAGAAGATAGAGGCTTTCAGTTTCTGTTACATAATGAATCATTCCTGTAAAGATTTCGTATTGTTGTTGCAATCAAATTCACTCAGACATAGTTTTGTATAATTAGTGCTGATTCTGCAAATGCTGTCTAGTTCTTACAACATTCTGATAGCAACCAAACACATACATGTTTTTAATTCCCTTTGTATTAAGCTGCACTGTTTTGAAGCGCTGCTTCACAAGCCGAGGCTTCACGGAAACATATGTTTTGGGATCTGCGTACATCTTACCAAGAAACAGACCTCACCTTTGGGTGGGATATGCTGGTTTTGGTTTAGGGAGCACATCTCCTAACAAAAGGTGAAGTATTTATGGTAATACATTTGAAAATCCTCCATCTGTTAGCAATCATAATTTATTTGTTTAAATTAGAGGCTGTTGTTGGGGTCTGTAAATACTCTCTATTTCAAGTTTAGGTATCAATTTTTTTTCACATTTTCTTTATTATTTTCTCCTTACAATGAATACTTGTATGTCTTCACCATATAAATCTGTGTTCTTTTTGTGCGTGATTGTTTTTTTTTTTTCATTTAAAACAACCTTGCAAGTTTTTTTTTATTCACATGGATATCCAACCCGCTATGCGAGCCGACTAATCCCAGGACGACCACCTGCTTTGCAGATAGCCCGGAGTTATCGTATTTGAATCTCCTAGGCTACAAGGGGATTTTTATTTCTTCTTGGATTTAAACTTGGGGACCTCCTGGTACTTTTGACCTTTGGCACCATGCTTAAACCAATCAGACACCACCCTTGCGGTTAAGTAACAGACGTGATGGTTTTATTGGTTTTGCTGAAAATACAAACTATTAATTTATTTCATAATATTTGACCATTAATCAAAATTTCAAAAGTAAGGATCATTTGAATAAGAAGGTAAAATATCTTGAGAACATAAGATTCATAAATCTGATTCATTTAAAAATCCCAAAAAAATCAAATAGATATTTGCATATGAACCAACATTATAAATCATTCATAAGGGTTCACATATGCATCGAGTTCCTTTTTCAATATTTCGACAAACCTTATAAAAAACCAAGTTGTTGTTTGATCAACGATCATACATTTTTGTTAACTAATCAATGATCATATATGTATACTTTTGTGAAGCCATATACAGATGCAAACTCCATACTTTCCTACATCACTTGTTTACAACTACATTTCAGAAGGTGCAAGTTTAGGTGTGAATCATAAGATTTGGATTGGAATAACACTTCTAAAAAAAGTTCCACATGAACCACCTTCTTCACTCACCAACAGAAACCATGTGCGTAAATACTCTCTACTCGCTATCAACAACAACAACAACAGCAGCAGTAGCAGCATCGTTTCTGTCTTCCTCACCATTTTCCTGTGCTTCTCCGTTCTCCATTGGAGGCTCTTCTGTTTTGCTCTTTTTGGCTTCCTTTGATTTCGCCGACTCGGACTTTCTTTTAGCATTTTTCCTCTTGAACTCTGCAAGTATGAACAAGACTGTTAATATAAGTTTTTGTAATAAAGTAATATAAGACTAAGAGTTCAGATCTCCATGGAACTGCACTGTTAGCTTTAACTCGGTTTCTAATATGAATTGAGTCACAACAGATCTATAATAATAACAGGTATGTATACATGTAGTGTGCGTTCAGCACACAAACAAGACTAAACAAGATAGGACAGACGAGAATGAGGCAGGCGAGTGGATTTTTTTGGGAAGGTTTTAGGGTTTTAATTTGACATGGCTAGTTTAATAATTTACCAATTTGTCTCATCTCCCTTATTTTTGTTCCCCCTATTTTGTTGGGACAGAAAAAATGCCTTTTTGTCCCACTTAGGTCCTGTCCTGTCCTGACCTGACCCAGTCTACTATTGCGCCAAACATGAGACAAGTTTTTGTACCGTCTTGTACCATCCCGTCATGTCCCACATACCAAACGCACCCATAAGGATTCATCTTGGACTAAGCCAATGGAATACTATTATTTGAAAATTTTATTTGCTTATAAAGTGAGTTATTGTTTTACCGGGATAAAGGGGCAAGTGTACATGTCTTCATCCTCAGACATACAGGACTATTTATACTGACTAGTATATTATATATGTAGTAGTCTTGGGCACATGGACCCACATGACCAGCCTTGCATCTTTTCGGTAATAAGATCGTGTCATTCCGCTACCCAAACTTATTATCCCCATATTTATAACTGTTATCAGCTAGAGGTTCATTAGTTATCATCTCTTAATGGAACAAATAACCTAGCATATCCGGGTTTTGTTCTACCCTGGTTCAACATGGTCGGATAAAAGAATGGGATTAGAAAATGAAAGCAACGACTCCTTCAGCTCATGAGCATCTGCACAAGCATAATGCTATGTCCCCTCCTTCTCTGCAAAATTACATACACATCCTACCTAAATCATTACATGACAATGACGATGATGAGAGCAATGCCCACCAAACAATGCCTCGCAAGTCACAAGAGTCTGCACCTGAGTTGCCTAAAGGTAATGCAAGAAATAACTAGGACAATACAAAAAGCAATAAAGGGGAAAACCATAGAGAGAAGCCAAAAAGGAACACTAGCTAAAGGTTCGGAAAATGCCTTGTAAACCATGTTACCACTTAAAGTGTGTAAATCATCAAATTGGAAAATGTTTTGTAGACCATGTTACCAGTACTGCTAAGGAGCTTCTATTTCATGATGCCAGCCTAGTCAAAAGGACAGAATGATAAATGATAACATTTAACAAAAAAAGAGTTTAGCAGCAGTACGAAATGGGGAAAAACACAAACTATTGGAACATATAAGTTCAAATATACTAGCAAGAAGCATAGTTGTGAAAAGCGCGCCTAGGCTCTGAGGCGCAAGTTTGTGGGCTTTTTGGATGTTGAGGCGAGGCATATTGATGAAGCGCACTAAGGCACTGGCCTTGGCTGAGGCACCGTATGGGCCTAGGCGCGCCTTGTCTCTTAGACTTCTACAAGAGAGAGAGAGAGTTATTAAATAAGTCAAACCCTAATAATGATCAAGTCTAATAATAGTATTGTAGGCTTATACTAGTCAAGACTTTTTGAGATACGTTTGATATTACTACTAGTCAAGGCTTATATATATACATATATATATATATATATATATATATAATTATTTTATAAGATGCGCCTGGCATTCATGAGCCTTGCGCCTAGGCCCTAGGACCCCTTTGCACCAAAGTGCGCCTTGGGCTTTTAACTTTTAACAACTTTGCCAGAAGGTGAACAAAAATAATTATTAGAGCATGCAAAGCTAAATAGAAAATCCCTTCGATGAAGGACATGAAGAGCTGGTTATGAGAGCCAGAATATTGCTTTGGCTGCTGTCATAGCCTTTGTGCTATGCCCGTAATTGCTGAACGCTAGATTGGTAACATACAAAGGAATTAGAAGTAATGAAAATCAACAAAGATAGTCCTATATTCAAAATACATAATAAACCCAAAAGGGGGTAGAATATTTATCTTTCTACTTGGATCTTTCAAGCATCTAAATGGAATTGCTAATTATCTAATAACGATAAAGAATGTCAAAGAAATACTTTCTTTAATCCACGCATACATTGATTTACTCCCGTCTTCACGTGTAACTTGAGCTTACAGAAACACTTGCTCCCAAGACCTCGATAAATCGAGGCCAGAAACAAAAGACTCAAAAATGAACGTTTAGGTAGTTTCATGACTTCAGTTGGATGCTTCATAATACAAACAACTAAACAAGACTGCAATCAAGTATAATTTGATACTTGCTAGATAAATTCTTGATCTTTTCCAAAGGTATTTGTGATGTTACAGTTAGAAGGACCAGCCATTAGTTATATGGAGATGGAGTGATCCAAAGATTTTTAATCTCTTCCCCTTGCTTTTAACCGTCCATGATTGATAATGTTGATAACAACCCAAACAACATTATTTTACCTTAACATCATACCCAACCATTACTCTTAAACTCATACAACCTTACTCAGGCCTCACCAACACAATAGAAGGGGGTAAATGCAACACAACACAGGGTCCTAGATTTGTAGCCTAAAGGTTAATACCTAGAGAACTCAGGGTAGCGATCCTATCTTTTTCAAAGAAAATCTACCTTTGTCGGAATAAGTTCGTGGATCCAATAATATCTACTGTTATTGTTAATCACGGTCATCAATATCTACCTTGCCACTATTACCTACTGTTATTGCTAATCATTGTCAACTCAATTTAGCTTTTTGCAAAATAATGGTTGAGAAAACTACAATTTATAATAATGATATAGTAAACATAAAGAGCATGCATATACTTCGTTTTAGGATTCAACCTTCAAGAGAGGTTCTTAGAGATGCAACAAATTCTGGGAACTCTATCTCTTCAAGCGCCTTGAATACGTCTTCAGCATTGATTGTTTGCCGTTTAGATTCCTTGCATATGTCATTTGCCCTGAAAAAATACAATAAAACTGAATTAAGGCGGCACCCACTTTGTATATTTTCACATAAATCAATGAACTTAGCATAAATCCTCTGGAATACAGTTCAATACAACATCCATTCTTTTTCTTTCTCTCCAGCAAATCTATCAATGAATGTTGAAAGGGAAGACCTCTCCATTGACTTCTATTACTAAAGAAGCACATACACAAATCATTTTACTTTAAATAAAAAGTTGCAAGACACAAGTGCAGTTGAAAGCATGGAAAATCACAATCACAAATACGTACATAGCACTCTCAACATTCTCAGAGAAAGAGATGCACTTGCACTTTTAAGATCAAACTTGGTACATTTTACAGGCAAATTATATATGCATTTTGTTAATATATATATATATATATAACATCAACATTAAACTATATGGTCGAATTGAATATCAATTTTTTGAAAAGTTCAATAATTGCTATCAATTGTAAGTTGAAAAACTAGCCTATTTGAACTCAGAAGTTATAGATGCATCTCCTTCTCCAATCCCGTGGTACGTATGTAAGCAAGAGTCTTTTTCCTACAACATTTTACAGCCGTATTCGACTTAAGTATACGAAAACAGCACAAAGTTAACCAGAAGATTCTCAAAGATTTCACAATAATGCTCCCTCTTTATAATATTAAAGGAGCTACATTTCAATTGTGAATCTCAATTCGACTTGCATCTTGAACTCTACGATTAGCTCAAATCCACAAGTGTTAATACATAGATAACGTTCGTGTCCCATTTTGTTATAATGTCGTATCAACTAGGGGAAGAAATATTTACTCACGTAGCGGAAAGGTAATGGATGAAAATCCGAGAGCTTTCGGAGAAGGCCAAGAGAGAATCCTTTAAGACTTGAATTTCACCACCGTCTTGCGACAACTGAGATAGTTTATCCTTTACTAGCCTCCTCACTATCGCCTTCGGTAACTCATCCGCATCTGCCACCACTTTCTCCCCTGCCGTCGGTGTCGCGGCCGTCACCATAATTGTAGATATTCTTCCTTGCGTCGATCTCAGCAATTAGCAGTGTATTTTTATTTATGAATCTAGGGTTTCTTTCCCGCCATTGCTGGGAGAGGGCTTTTAATAGGGAAATTTATAAAAATAACCGGTTTACACAACCCTTTGCCACAAAATAACCACATTTTAGAGGTTTTGCCAAAATAACC